AGGATTGGACCAAGGTCACTAAAACATTTCCCACATCGCACTAAACAGCTATCAGTCAGCCTTTAGTCACTACTGACTGGGGCTCAGTGTTCCCTCTAATTTCTTCCATCAATGTGCAGAATAAATTGTGTTATGTGCACCAACACGTGCGGATATGCACCACCAACAGAAACATATGCTGCTGTGTGTGGGTGCTGTGGGCGCTCTGCTAATCAGCTGGGCAGCATTTGAATTTCTCTTGGGTGGCTGCACAAGCACTAAGCTTTTAGGTAACACTGCTGGGGCTGTATTTAAAATTCAGCATTTTAAGAGTGTCTGCGGCCTAGGAGAGCATGCCCCTCCTAGACAAGATACAGAGTACAGGGCATTTTTTTAAAATAAAGGAGTTTTAAGCCCCTGAAAACAGGAGTTTTGCAGATGCACCGAAAGAACCTTAGTTAAATGACAATAGTTATCACTGCTGCAGCCACATTCTAGGCTTTCTTTCAGTCCCTCATACAGCAGAGGAGACTCTTTTATATCAGTATTTCTCATACTGTGGTCTGCTGGGAGACTGTGAGGGTACTCCAGAGATCTGCCAGCTGTGCTGATCAACTCCTACCACTCCCTCTTAGTGCCTCTTGTACGCCAGGGAGTAGGAGTGGAAAAGGGACCATGGTAATTCCAGTCGTTGACACAGCAGGGGCCTGGACTAAGGCAGGCTCCCTATCTGTTCTGGCTCCATGTGGCTCTTGGAAGTGGCCACCAGGTCTCTGTAGCCTGTAGATGCAGGTAGGCTCTCTACACCCCAACCAAGTGCCCCATCCCAGAGCCTTCTCCTACAGCCAAACCCCCTATTTCTGGTCCCACTCGAGAACCTGCACCACCAGCCAGAGCTGCCCCCTTACACACATACACCCTACCTCCCTGTTCTAGCCTGGAGTCTCCTTCTGAACCTCAAAACCCCTCACCCCATCCTCACCCCAGAGCCTGCACCTCCAGCTACATCCCGCACCCCCCCCCCTTACTCCCAGTTTGGTGAAAATGAGTGAGGGTGTGAAACAGCAAGTGATGGAGGGAGGAGGGAATTAAGTGAATGCGGGGTAGAGTGGGGCCTCAGAAAAGAGGCTGGGCCTTGAGGGGTCCATGAACAAAATTAAATGAAAATGGAGTTCCTCAGGTTGCTAAAAATTTGAGAACCATAATTCTAGATTAAAACATACCATATAGATTATTAACATATGCTCCTAATTAGAGACAACCTTATTGTTCATGCTGCTCTACTTACCTCTACCAAATCCATGTCTTTCAGGGAGAGTCCTGCTTTCTTCAAGGCCTCAGTAATGGCAGGCACGGGTCCTATTTCAAAGTTAAATAGACACAGTGAGTAGTTGAAGAGTCTTACAATAAGCACCACACTTCTAATGAAACTCAGCTACAACCTAATCTAAACCAATACATGGGGAAAAATTAAATTAAATTAGAAATATCTAGTGAGATACTTGAAAAACATAAGTGCTAAGGCAGAGTTTAGATTAGTGGTGAAAAGCAAATTGGATAGGAGCCTGTAATGTGAAGGGGTATCAGATTAGAGAGACAAATTATTTTTTTATAGAAAACTGACATGATCTCCCCTGGAATAGCTTAAGGACTTTAACTAGGAAAGATGTTAACAACTCAAATATGAAAAGCAACAAAATGAATAAAGGGTTGGAGAGAGCTAAGTAAAGAATAACTAAGGCTCTTTGGTTTTGGTTTTTACCAATTTTTAACAAAAATATTCCCAGTTTTTACAAAAGTTGTTATTTATCAGTTTTCACTTGAATTTTGGACCATCAACAGTATGAAAACACTGATTATCTTTAGAAAGTCCAATACGCTGTGTTAGAGTAAATTATTAACATAAACACAAGGCTGTTAGAGTAAGGAAATGTAATGGAACATACGCACATGAAGGCATGTGCATACATGTGTGTATGCCCTGTTAAACAACAGCACAAAACTCATTTTCAATATTAATAGTTATCTATTTATTTTTATGTCTGCCCATCCCTCAGTATTAACCCAATATTAACCCAATTATTTACCAAGAAATAAAGTTAATTTTTGTATCTATTTTCAATTGTTTAATTTTTGTAGTAAATATTTGTAATATTTCTATAAAATATTAAACAAAATAAAAACCAAAGACGTACCCTGAGAATAAACTCAATGAAGTTCCAGATTCAAAGCCCTAAGTCAATGGAAAGATACGGGCTTTGGACCAGGGCTTAAGTGAGGATTTTGCATGTGCATGTGTGTGTAGGAGTGTTGGAAATATCACCACACACCTGGTAATAGACAAAGTGAGTGCCAAGGAAGGGAAACAATTTTTAGTTCTCTAATGGAAAACTGGGATGAAACCAAGCATGGGATATGACGTTAAACATCTCGAGCAATATATTAGCTAGCTGCCAAACAGGCTGCCAGGAGAACTGGGAGAAGTTCTATTTACCTGAGTCATTGAACACTAGCCTGGGAAAAGCAGGGCAGACTACTGTAGGACAACAGAATCTGCGGGATTCTTCCCCAACATACTGAAATTAGGGATGTGAAATCCCAGTTAAGTGATTAAACCATTACATTTAACTGCTTAACTGGGATCCTGCAGACG